ATAATGATGATGATATGCCAATGGGATGGAAGCCCTTTTTTGCTGCTCGGAACTGTATGTGTACGTGGGTGGGTCTGTGATACTAGTGACAACGGCAAGCCATGAGCAACCTAATCTCTAAATTCAAATGGTAAAAGGCCGGCGTGTAAAGCAGGGGCATTTGAGAAAATAATATTTACCATTCGGTATCGTCGTCACACTGAGCGGTCGATTCATCGACTGTTCTGTTTGCCGCACCAAGCACTTTGACCCCTTTGAATCCTCAGAAAAGGAAGCCGCCGTAGCCTTTCTCGGCTCCACCTTCTGATTCGCTTTCCGGAGGCTGTAGCACTATATTCAATGAACTGCAGAATATTCTGGAAGGAAAAGCCTCTGAAGCTCTACCACTGCTAGAAAAGCTAGTGAACCTGCTCGTACCCAATACATCAGAATTTGTGGAAGCCGACAAACGTGCTCATTCGTTTGTCATTTTGAAGTACCTGATGTAGCTGACGGGCAGCAAGAGAGAAATCAGTAAGCGAAATTTTGGATGTGCAACTGTCTTATCTATAGTTCGATGGAATGATATTTTCAGCTGAGCAAAATCACCTACTTGCAGTTGCTTAATTACTGAAATGCATGTGAGGTTCATTTCTTCGCATTTTATGGTTGTGAAGAACCACCGAAGGAGATATGGAACGGATGAATGAGACGCTGGTTTGCGGCTCCACGACAAGAAGAATAGACTTGCCTGCTAGCTTATGTGAACAATACCACGCTGTTGGATAACTTCGAAAACAATCAAGGCCATCCCAATTGACTTGTGTGTAATTTCTTACCAGGACATACGAGCTACGAAGTTTTTGTAGTGTTGCAAAAATGCATACCTTGTTCAGAACAGGGTGGAAATTTGTTTCGAGGACGTGGTCACATCAGTACGACCCCCTCCCCCCCCCCTCATTCTAAAATTGGAGTATTGATAGGACTCCCCTAATTTTGATTCTAATGGAAACGTTTTAGTTCTTTTCATCATATCGCGCGGTAACGCACAGGAGTGCAAAGATCAGGAGGTAGCGAATCATGCACATAAAGGAAAGATATATTATTTACTTGGATCATACGCACGCGGTCGGAGGGTCAGATCCTGAACTTGTGCGCCGCCGCAGGGCAGTCAAGCTTTCCATTCTTCTGAGGCAGCCATTGAAGGCTAACCCCGAGATTAGCCCGACTAGCAGGACGGATAACACGAGGGAAATTGTAAGGCATTCAGGGGTTCCAATCCTTCGTTGCGCATAAGGTTCTGCAAACGCTGCCAACGTATCTTTGGCCGTGTGCATCCCCTCTGAGTGCTCTCTGCGTTCACCGGGTCGGTTTCTTCTAGCAACAACAACTGTCCAGTTCCCTCTGCTCACTATAGAGGGAACTGCCCCCCCCCCAGTTTCCCTGCAACTAGGGGAACTGGGGGGGGGGCTCCAGTATAACATTCGTAAGCGGTTTTGGAACAAGAATATGTGACATTGACAATGATACTGCGTCTCCATTTCAGCATACACGACTGCCATCATCACTGGCTCCGCCATGTGACTCTGATTCCACTGTTATGTTCTAAGTTCATTATCAAATAATTCTTTCTTCCTTTCTAGATCTTATCGCTTATATGTAGCTACTATAAGGCAGTGTATTTCATTCTAGTAACCTTCCTTTGTATTTTTCACTCCCCACGTTGATATACGTATGAGCTCCTTGACTCTCTGAGCCCCTGCACCCCGCTACAGTCGTCATGTGGACCGCGGAGGGTTGGCGGACCTACTAAGTTGGTATCCGGAGTCACATCTCAGCTAACGGCTTGCAGTGTTGGCCGGCCACTGCCCTTCCCTCCGCTTAACTCCACCGTTCCCAACTCCTTCCCGTGACCGCTGGAGCAGGTCCTAATTATGCAACTCCTTGAAATCTGATGCCTCCTATCTTATGAGACATGCTTCTAATTTATATTTCTGTGATTCATATCTCTGTCAATATCATCCATTTATTGCAATTTTTCACTTTTACTATTGTCATCCTGTGTTTCCATTGATTATTCGTTATATTCCTGTACTTTAATTGTAAACAATAGCTAAATAAATAAATAAACTAAATAAATACTCAGTGGATTGCTCCGTCATTGAACTTTAAGAAGACTAGAACATCGGGCACCTACCTGCAGCGCACTGTCGGATGTCCGAAGGCCTCTGTCAAAGCAAAATCATCACATTTAGAATCTTCTGCTAACTATGTACATAGCTTAAGTCTATCCCACAATGTTGGTCTGTCTCTCAATGTCATCTTGAAATTTACACTTAATATGTGAAATGACACCCTATATTCTCCAGCCCCCTTTACATTTCACTAACCCGAACGTATTTCAACATGTCAAGACTTGACCAAACGGATATGAAATGTCCTTCTTACCTTACGATGGGCAGTCACTACTCAACCTAAAAGGGCGGGGTAGCGCCTATCCAAAATCACTGCTCATCTGAATATTTATTGAAATTGGATCACTTTGGCAAGTTGGACCTCGTAGAGGTATGGAAATCCTAGTCGAGGATCGATGCCAATGTAAACGCTGCACCAGACATTCAGATCAGGAAAACTGGTCACATTCAGATGTGCTGCTGGATTATTGAAATCGACCTCAAAAGTAAAGAACTCACAGAACCTGGAACAAAAAAATTATAAAAAATGGAATCATGTTTGGAGAACTTTCAAAGAAGGTCGATTGGACAAAGGCTGTCTAACACAGTCTTGTTCGCAGAGCATAATGTGCTGAAGATAACGAAGGGACCCGTTGAATGAAGAATGGTCACCTACTCTCATTGAACCTTCTGACTCCTAGTGGTCCTGTAGACCACAAGCCAACATATCATAAGATTATCAGAAGCGTAACGTAAACGAGTTGCAGGATATATTAAGCTCGTCCGGTGCGATTGCGTCACGCCGGCGTAATATTATTGAAAATATTCACCTTACGCATTTATACCTCCTCCATTACCTGATGATCCTATAGTAACAGGAACCTAGCCCAGGCTGATATATTATAAAGCAACTTGACGCACCCGGGATTAAGCATGAATGAATTCTGTAAGGCCAAGGGCTTAACTTAATACAGAATACAGAGAAACTGTGGGGCAGAGTGCGAATGCTCGATTGGTTTTCCGCGAGAACTAGTATTGTGAGATTTATTCGTAATCAGCCACCAGATTATCTTACAATTAGTTATCAGGAAAAAGTAGTTTGATTAAAAAATTGACGGAATTATGAAAGGGACAGGTGTCTAGGCGTTTGTCATGCATGCACGCCCTATTTGGAAGAAAAGCTCGGCAGGCAAAACTAGCGCTATCGCATTGGGCGACGAGTCGCAATAGGAATTTATTGGAGGCACTCTCTCGAAACATTGCTGTCAAGAGTGCTTAAAGTTGTCTTGGTCAGTTCAGTTCAACTCACGCGCGCATACTCAAACCGTGTTTGACAAACACCATACGTTATACGTCGCTAATGATGGTATAAATCCTAGAATGACACTCACCTCCAGAGCCATTGCTAATTCTTTCGCATTCTATAGCGGACAGGTAAGCTCACCCCACAAATTTTCACTGCATTTCCTTACCTAACAGATACATATCCATGTAGCACCTTCATTTTCCGTACTTGTAATCTGTATTAATGATTACAAAATATGTGGACCGAAACTTATCGATTCACTCGTGAGTTCTCATTCCACAGCTTACGGAAATTCGAAAGGCATTGTTTTGCTTGTTTGGAATTCGAAAGACATGTGTTTGCATCGCACACGTAATTTCTGGCCATTCCGTGCTATTCTTTGTTGATGAGCTCGACATGTCCCAGCTAAGCGTTGCTTTGCAAGTGGTAATTTTTCTTACTTTGCACGACCTCCATGATCTCCTTATCTCTTTGCTATATCTTGTAGTGACTTCCTACAGTCAGTTTAAAGGAGACAGAACAACAAAAGCGCAAAACCCCCTCCCGCATAGGAGTTGGAGTGTCACAGTGAAAAACGATTTTAGGAAAAGACTCTTCAATTTAAAAACATCCGCCAGTTATATTGCTTGTAGTACGTGTTTTCAAATATTTTCCCACCCATCTCAGTTTTACCCCTAAATAGGCGTCCCGATAAAATATAATAAATAAGTCCGCTTGTGCCCTGGCCGCATTCTTACGGGTGCGACTCTTTTTGCTTAATATGTGGCTTTTTGCACCGCGTGGGACCAAGGCGATATCGCGAGCGCCGCCGCCTCACAATAAATCCGTGGATTTTGAGCTGTAAATACGCAATACTTAGATGCGACAAAGTCTTCAAAGCAATGTTCGATGTGTCTAACTTATCGGAGTAACAGTAAAAGTTCGACCAAAATGACGTGTTATAGCCATGAAAAGGCAAATTTTACTTACTTTGCTTTAGTGGTTTCAAAATTATTTTGGACGTGGTTGTTTTAGAAAACACATATCTTGCCACACGAATAGGTTTGTGTTCGCTTCTATATTCTTTTTTATCTAGGCGTGTTCGTGTTCATTTTATGTTGATGGAAAGAACGAGAAATGAACCAAACAGAGATGGCCATAAAAACCTCTACTAAAATAAAGAACTTTTGGCCATTCTGTGAGCCACGTGATTCTTGAAAATGTCAACAGTCTAAACAAAGAGCTCAAAAAATTTGGGAAGAATTGGGCATGTGCGGGAAAACTGGTACCAAAATGCTTACGCCCATGCGCGTCAGAATGCCCAATGTGGCCTCAAATGTGTGACGCGCATTCGCGTCAGCCTGTCGTCAACGTGTTGAATGTTTCCTAGCGGTACACAAGAATATGAACGCTCAAGTGTGTTTCCCACTCTTCTCAGATAGTATTGCACTTCAGAACACTCACCTGTAGCACAGTTATAGCCCATCCCGTGCTGTTTAGCGACTTCTCGATCGAATCAGCAACGCCTTGAGGCTTCCCTTGGGTCAGGGCTGCTTCTATGATCTAAGATAACCAAGCTCTAATGCTAATATAAAAATTTAGCGATACTCTCAGAACATATAATTTGAACAAACTCACAATTTTTTGCTTTTGTGCAGCACAGAAAGGAACGCAGACGTGAATTTGAGGGTCATCCATGACGCACATGTTGTCAGCTAGATTATCTAATCTTTAGAAGTAAAATTCGACTTTTCCGTTCACGTTACTTTACACAAGAGGGTTGGAGAAGTGAACATAGTTCGGAGAAAAACAGAAGTTAGCGAAACTGGATTGCCAGTCAATCACTGAGCAGAATTTAGGGATGCCAACAAAAATTTGTCGATTTCATTGTATGTACTGGTTTGGAATCACTTCCAAATAGTTCATCCTTGGACTCAGGTGTATAAGTAAATCTGCTGTAACCATGATTATCTTCTTTTCAATTGAGGAGTCCAGTTAAAAACTTTACACCTTCCTAATATGGACAGCCCCGACATGGCGTTCACCGAAATAGGCTCTCTCCAAAGATCACGGATAGCTGAACTCTTTCCAGTTGCTCTCACAACATTTTCGCTGTCACTTACGACACAAGGAAGCGAAGCATGCAATTTAATTGAAAACATAATTGAAGACACAATTCAGGCAGAAGAGTGTGAACCATTACCTTTGGCCCGTAGGACAACCACAGGCGTGACAGTCCTGTGCATGAAATCACCCGTCAATGGCGCTAGGGCCTAAGTAAACTGCAGCAGCTGCAATGTTTTGGGACTGTTGTCTGGCGACCTCTCAACTGTTGCCCTTCTCGCATCATACTCTCCGCATAGCCTCTCAATGCCTTAGCACGAGTGCATTACTGATTCTTTTCCTGTTTTCTTTATTGGCGGCCCATTTCGCACACTTTCGTGTCGTTTGCAAGAACCACTAAAGGCGGATGCTAGGACGTGTCCTTTATCTAAGCTTTATTGCCACTACTTCTCGTCTAAAGTCGAAGACTCTGTGCTTCTAAGGGGTTTTCCCCTAAAATGTTAGGTTGGCACATAATTTTGACACACTCTACATGAATTGCTGTAAAAATCTTTCAAGAAGTATTGGAGCCTTTTAACATGCTTGTAACTTGGCACACAAGCTCAGCTATCCGAAAAACTAATCATTTCATTTGCTCGTTGTTTACTTTGGCTAGGATTCCAATTTCTTCAGAAACCTTTTTCTGAGCCTTCTTCTTTACAACTACCGATTAGGATCTTCCACGCGCCAAGCTACACAGAGTATCAACCAAAAGATATGTAACAGCACGCACCCTCAATTTACGGTACACCGTGGCTCACTCTACTTACCAATAGGATTTTTTTTACTTGAAGAAAATCTACGCTCTACTCATCCCGCGATTGGCAATCTCGATGAAACACTCGACGCCAAGGAAAGGAATCTGAATATGTAGTAGCCATCACGTACCAGAGCGCTTTAAATGGGACAGGGCAAGAAGTAATTGTAGGACCAAGCACATTTTTTCTCGCGGTAAGTCATGTCGCAGTTGCAGAATTACTATCATCGGTGACGTTAGATGGTATCAAAAGCATGAAAATCCACATATGCTCTGCTTTCTTGAGGCTGCGCCACGTGTGCTAGTGTGTGTGCTAGTACGGCATGTCACGATGTCGACGAGGACGAGGTACGTTAGATAGATGCTTACGATTATCCCAGTGATCGCGGCCATTGCGAGAGAGGTGTTTCGCTTCTCGTAGCATGTCGTCGGAGAGATCCACGTGGTAGTCGACCTTCCACCACAGTTGATGTGCTTCCCTAAAGATAGCTCTGTTAGTTCAAGCCACAACAAAGCTGATGAACATTCTCCATAAACTTCTATAGTACTGGCCCCTCAAACCTGGCTTCAAAAAAGGAGGCTGGCAATGTGCGAATAACAGTCGCCATTTTCCGTGATCAAGTTTGAGCGAAGGAAGAGTGATAAATCCCAGGACACTGGCATTCGAAATTTTTCACGCACCGTTTACTACAAAATTGATCCAGTGGATGAAGCATCAACCCCTTATTCGTACGAGATGCGAATACCCTCTCGTACGGGTAGGGGGTCTAATGCCGGGGCTGCCTGCGCTTTCCTTGTACTATTATTCACCGCACTACCGATACGCTCGTGCGCCTCCGCCTAGGCTTCCACTGGGTGTAGTATTTATCGTTAGCTTATCAGCATGAATGTGATCTGGTGCACAAATTGCAGGAGTGCGGGTAGAATCCCGCCTACGACCATTTGTTGTGTCCTTCACTCGGCATTTCTTGCTCTAAACTTCCTATAAACTCACTGTTACGCAGAATTGGTCGCCGTCAGCTGGAACTCCAGCCGTCGCCCACTTCTGTATTCCAACACACCTTGTCACCAACCACGATTTTGGCGGGGTAGACAAATCACATTTCCCTGAAATAACACTTTCTAGAAGTCGGCGTTCATCCATCCTGGAAGAGTTCAGGAAGAGAAAACTTCGATTGCTTTTTTTCTGTTTAAACTCTATTCTTATAGAAGTCTTGAAATTGGAAATATAATACATAGATGGAACGACATAATTATCATGTTTACTAATCAGAATCAACTGAATTCAACTATTTTGTTTGTTACATGTGGAAAACCACAATGACCTCCTGACGTTCCAAAATTATCATCAAAATCAAAATAAGTAAGAATTTGAGGCAAAAGTTTACTAAGTTTAGTTTGAAGTTAAAGACCTCACGGATTGGTAATCGTTTGCGAGAGACAGCTTCGAAAAATAACAGAGGTTGCAGGAGAAACTTGAAAACTAGCTTTCAACGGACCTGCTGAGTGGGTAGAATGGGGTGCCAGCGAAATCAGCGCCAAAACCAGTAGCGAGCGTGTCATTGAAGGTGTCGAATGATAACGTATCGCATGTTGCTTGGCTTGGAGAGAACATTTTTTGCTCGGCTTTATCGCCTCTGTAAACGGGAAGTTTTCGAATTCAAACCTAACACGCGGCTTTATCGCCCTTGTAACGGAAGTTCCCCAATCCAACTCTAATAATACGATTTCATTTCCTACTGTAAACGTCTGTAGTAGTGAGAGTAAGAGCTTGAACTTCTACAAAGCCTTTGCACAGTTCACTCAAGGTAGGAGGCCATTGTGGTATTGCACATAACATGATAGGAGTGATAGGACTGATTTTTTATGTTTGTAGGCCCAGTTGATGAAAATTAGCCAGGCCGACAATAACGAACTCTATTTCCCCTGAGGAAGAATCAATCGAATAATTAAATCTCTCCGGGCTCGGACACATGATTTGTCTCTCTGAACAGTTCCGATCATTAGCTGTCCCCACAAATCGCTCCGTTCCAGAATGGTTTTTCCGCCAGAACTCGACGGCCAACCACCTTCTCTGGGAGTCTAGCCCAAATTTTTTTCGCAGTCGAGACATTGAAAACTACTGGGATGTTAAGAGCAAGTCATGAGCAAGTTAAGAATTATGCCTGGTTTATTTTCTTTCATCTCGAGTAAACTTTTTCTCAAAGTAATATGGTCATTTTTGTGGACTAAACACCTTAACGCGCAGACCTTAAAATTGACCAAATACACAGGGAAGATAAATACAAACAATTATGAAGATATGTAGAGCGTGACCGGCGGAGACAAACTGGCTCACGTTTGCTACCTATATCAAGAGAATTTTGAGAGTATGATGTTTCAGAGTGAGATTTCGTGCAAAAACCTCTTTCGGTTATCGGTTTCACCCAATAAACGAAATCAAAAGGTCATGTATAAGTAGAGGGTACATCACTGATTGATTTTTCCTTGAGGGAAAATAAAGTTAGAGCTAGTTGTCGAGTTTGGCTAATTTTCGTCGGCTGGACCTCCTATTTCGCAGGACCGAGATCCAAAAGCTCCGCAGCGAACGTGAAAGCAAAATACAGTGTCTTATTCTTAATACTTCATTGATAATTCTCTTTTTAACAAGTAGAGATTTGATGTAAGGCATGGGATTTTAGTGGAAAATTACCGATTTGAAAAAAAAGCGACTCTGCTCATGGGACATGGAATATTAGGCGTTTCACAAATGCATGTATCTCGGCTTAAACTAAACCTTTCCGGTGAATAAAAACCGTTTGAATGCGCTAACCTTCCGCTATAAGAAGACGTTTCAGTGGTTACCTTTGTTCAGAATGCTGGAGCCCTGGAGGCGGTGAACTGAGGGAAGGTCGTTTTAGCATCGGGTTGTTTTGAAGCATTTCTCTTCAAGGGAACTATCGAGGCCCCAAAAAAGTGATAGTTGATAGCCAGAGGTCCAACCTCCCATACACTTGAAAATCACACGGATCATTTGCTTGTGGCTGCGTTACACACCTACTCAGTGGCCTATGTGTGGCGCTTTCCTAGCTTGCCGATTCCACGTGGGATGTCGGTATACCCGTGTTTCGAAGTTTCGGTGAGCCCCTATGACCCCAAATGTGGCGAGCGGGCACCATAGCCGACTGGTGCAGGGCTGCGTCACGGTCAGCCGCTGGTATAGTGTGTTCTGTATCCGCGAAAGCCTGATGATTGTGTGCCAAATGTTTGAAGCATTAGTGAGTTACTTTCCTACATCGTGGGATGATATCTGGTCCAATAAGTTTAAAGTGTTGGAGCGTTATTTTGGACTACTTCACTTTTACTTCACTTGACTAGGCTGTGACTACAACATGAACCTCCTGTCTGACAGGCTCTCTTTTTTACCTCTTCGCTTTCTCTATTTTTTCGAGCAGTCCAACAAATAAATAAATAGTAAATAATAAATAAATAGAGCGCAGTCGAGTTATTCAGCAAAGCTTCGTGGGCTGTAGGGAATAATCCCCTTCTTCACTGAGGGTCCGCAAATTTAGTAGAAAGAGCCGAGCCGCTTACACCAGCGTAACGCAACAAGTAGAAATTGAGAAAACGACACTTGATCCGAATTGGTGCTTTGACAACGCACCAATCCTACTAAATTTATTGAATTTCGATACTACTTAGCGAATAACCTTGGATTCCACAATGCCATGTATACGATGACCATAGTTGGGTGACAATCCAGGGTCCAACCGTGTGCAGTATAGGTGGAATCCTCGCCGCGTGTCGCAAAGTGGGGGGAGAGCTTGTACTAGCCCACTCAGAATTAAGTGACCTGGATTGATGCCAGTAGGATCATCAACCAGCCAGGAGGACAAAACATCAGAATTCGAGTCGATGCCCAGGCCAGAAAGAGAGATTTTCTAAATACCCAAAATGTCATCAATGAATGGCTGTGATTGTGAAACAACCACTTTCGGCCCCATGGTGCGGAGGACTAGAATCCCGCACCTCTCTCCGGCATTATACCCGGGCATTACGCTACCAGTTAACGCTAACCGGTGCAATACCAAATTTCATTCCGCCACTCAGCTTTTTATATCATGGTATACCGTATACATAGCTTTTCAGCACATACATCTTAAATAAAGTGACCGAATAACCAATATGATCGATATACATGAGAAAGCTGAAGTTGGGATTAAAGTGGAGTTGCGACCACAAGCTATTGGATCACGTAATTACCATGAACAGCTTGATTGGGGAATGAAAATGGTGCCCCACGGTCGCGTAACTGGTAAACGGCACCATTGCGTGCGAAAGCGAGAAGGTTGCGGATGTTCTAGTCCGCCTGGGGCGAAAAGTTTATTTTTTCACAACCGCAGCATTCCCCCCTTTGTGAAACACATACGCTACGGAAGGCGATGCTGCGGGTGCCGAGTTGGGGCCAAAAAACAGTCAGTCAACTAACAAAAACAAGTCAAATACTCAATAACAAAATGTTCTTATGATGTCCCGGACCCACTAGAAAGTCTTCCTGATTCAGTACGTGTCCCGCTAGCATTCTGTTGCTTTAGTGTTCTAATCCCACCAATCAGCTAAAGAATCCGAAATTCGCACGTTTTCCAAGGGATTTATCGTTCAGACTCCTCGAATCTGAAAAGATGTGAAGCACACGGCACATCCCAGAGTGGGCCTTGTTTGGTTGCACAAGCTGCGGCTCTCTGGAGAAAGAATCTCAATTCAGGAAAAATCAAGAGGATTCTGAAAGGGTTCGTGTGAAATTACAGGGAGGAGTACACCATTCAACAAGAAACGCAGCCTTCAGCGTCAAATTCACAAGCATGTAACCTTTAAAGTTGAGACACGCTAAACAATTTTACACTTTTTGGAAAGAGAAAAGCACGAGGATTTCGAATCTGCTCCTACTTTCAGTATGTAATCGCCCCTGAAAGGAGCTATAGTCGTTGGAAATAGTGCTAATGTAGCGAAAAAGTACCTTTCGGCGGTACTCGGGCAAAAATCCTCAACGTGGCCATTTTTTAAATACTGGACGTATTTAGCTGCTTTAGCGACCGTTTGATAGAGAAAATCTTCTAGTTTTGTATGCCATATTAACTTTTCAGATTTGACGAAAATGAAGCAAGTTATGGCTTCGGAAAGTGTAAAAACTCGTGACAGACACTTTGTCTCCGCATTCAGATGGATTTAATCACACTTCTGCTCAATTCAAACCGAATGGTCCCAACTTAGTATTGAAGAGCACATTTCATTCTATAAGAAAATCTTCATAGTGGCCACCTACGTGGACGGCATCAGAAGAATTTGCCCCGGAAACATGGTGCACTGGTCGAGCTCAATGGGGTCTTCGAAGGATCGTGACCTTTACTGGAAAGCTAGTTTCGAGGGGATTTGCATAGTGGGAGCTAATGCCTCTAGAAAACTATCCAACATTGAATCGATTCACGAAATTATGTAAGAGCTTCAGGCTGAAGCAGTTACGGTAGCCTCCTTGAGCTTGACGACGGTGACAGATGACGTCATATTCTGAAGACGGTGAGGGCAGTGAAGGAGGGCCTGCGTCTACTTATAGAGGGACATTTAGGGAATATTCTACAATCTCTGCGAACAAAAAGGGCCTAAGTGCGACATGGGCGAAATGTCTTTTATTCTGGCCACCTGTATAGCCACATTCGGCACCTGGGAGGATAAGACCCATTGAAACTAATCAAAACGTCTTCAGAACTCTGCAGCCATTTAGGCTATCTCTCAATTTGAAATGCGGAATTCCGCCGTGACTCTTTTCGGTTCTTAAGACCATTAGGAAGCTATAGGCAGAGCTGGGACCAACGTTATTGTGGTTGAGCTTTGAACTCGAACATGCATGTACTGGCACAGAATTTGGTGGTGAAGTCAAGAATAGCTCCTTCCAGGCCTAGAGAAGGTAAATCGGGCATAACCTCCTCCAAAGGAAGATCGCTGCTGCTACTCCAAAAACCTACTCCTGAAGGGACGATAGCAACGGCTCCTGGTCGAGCACGGCAATCCTCAGAGAGGTAAGTGACCAGCCGATACATCACTCTATTGCGTCTCAATTTTGTATCTTGATATACAGAAGGTTGAACCGGGTCTACCATACCTCTCGATTTCGAATGCATTGACCAAAACTGGAATTTAAGAGAATGACTACCGCAATCATGGCGAGCTGCTTCATCCCTCTGCCCGAGTTTTGTGGCACTTTGCTTCTCGAATGACCGTGATCTTTGATTCACTATTTCGAGACGGTTAAGCACTAGTTTGCCGTCAGCTTGTGTCCTGTTCCGCATACGTAATTACTGAATGGCACAGAGCATCCGTAAGAAGGCGGAGCTTCTTCCCGTTGTTTGTCGCAACGAACCGGACTCGGCGTCAAGTGCGCGGGTACAAAAACTGTCGTTGGCAACACCTCACCTGCTCTACGAATGCGACCATTCAGTGGACTTGGTGTTCTTCTTCTTGTAGCCACGTGCGATGCCGCGATTGTTCGACGTAACAAACGGCAACTTGGTAAGGTTATCAAGTAATTTAGAGTTCCAGCATATTCAGCGTATTAGTTTAATTTACAAGCTTTCAGTGAAT